CACCATCATCTAGACCAGTGGTTCTCAACATGTGGTCTTGACTCCTTTGGGGCATCAAATGACCCTTTCACAAGGGTCTCACATCAGATATCCTGCATATTAAATATTTACATTATGATTCATAACAATAGCAAAATTACAGTTACAAAGAAGCAACAAAAATAATTTCTTGTTGAAGGTCACCACAACATGAGGAACTGTACTAAAGGGTCACACCATTAGGAAGATTGAGAACCACTGATTTGGACCAAGTGGCAGGCTACAGAAAGGGCAAAGGTCTTTACCAATTATACGTCTCATGGAGGGTTAGTGCCTAAAGTATATAAAGAACCCCCCCCCCAAAAAAACCCTGGACATTAAGAAAACAAATAGCCCAATTAAAAATGGGATACAGGAGTAAGCCGAGAGTCCTCAAAAGATGAAACACTAATGGCTGAGAAACGCTTAAAGGACTGTTCAACATCCTTAGTCGTCAGGGAAATGCAAATCGAAACTACTTTGAGATTTTTATCTTACAAAGTCAGAATGTCCAAGCTCAGTAAAACAAGTGACAGCTCATGCTGTGAGGACTTGGGGAAAGAGGGACACTTATTGCTGGTGGGAAGGCAAACATGAAGGGACGCCATGGAAATCGGTGTGGCAGTTCCTCAGGAAGCTGGGTATGTCTCAAGATCTATACCATTCTATACCTGAAGCACTTTACTTCCTACTATAGAGATACTTACTCATCCATGTTCATTGCTGCTCTGTTCATAATGGCCAGAAACTAGAAATAGCCTCGGTGTCTATCAGCTGATTGTATGGATAATGAAAATGTGATGCATTTACATAATGAAATATTACTCAATCTGTTTAAAAAAATCCAGAATTATGAAATGTGCAAGTAAATGAATGGCGGTAGAAAGAAAAGCAACCTAAGGTAACCCAGACCTCCAAAGACAAATAGTGAATGTTTTCTCTTATATGTGGATGTTAGCATTTCAGCCTTCAATAGCTGTACTACAATCTATGTGCCACAGAGCTCAGATATGGAGTAAGGGACTTGGGGGAAGGGATGATCTCCGAAGAAAAGGGAAGTAGAATGTATTGTTTTGAAGTGACAGGGAAGACTGAATGGGATGACTAAATGGAGAGGGGGAAGAAAGAGAGGGGAAGGGAAGGAATATGGGGAGGGACTACTAACATTAAGGACCAACTGAAAGGCCATATGGAAAATTCCCACTGTAGAAGCTTCCTAAAATACATACATTTATGAAAGAAATCTAAAAGGCATCACCAAAAAAACAGGGGAGATCATACTCCAACTAGACATCTTATGCCACCAAGTAAAACCTCTAGTGCCAAAAACAACATTTACATATTTCATCAAATATGTAGAATTCAGTCTGGTACCTAACTAGAGCTTTTACTCCTACTGACTAGCATTGATAGTACTGGAAAGTACTCGACATGCTACCAGAGGGGAAAGGTAAACATCAAGCCCACTAAAACCCCTGTATCTACCATGGTGCATCTACCTACAAGATAAGCTGGTACAGCAGTGGCACAAACATTGTGGGAGTAATCAACCACTTTCTGACTGAATTTAAGGCCCATTCCATGAAATCAAATCCATGCCTGGCACTGCTTGGGTAGCCGTGAACCTGAGACCCAATAGGCCATAGACCTAGGGGAAAACAAAGTACTATTGTTCTGTTGAAGGAACATAGCAATAAAATGTCTCCCAATACATTCAACTCTACCCATAGGTCAGTTCCTCACTCAGCCATCATTGGAAAAGCTCCTTGCAGTAGATGGGAACTGACAGTGTCCCATAGATGGACAATGTGCAGAGAGTGAGAGATTTTGGAACACTCTGTCCTAAATGGGATGTCTTCACCAAACCCTCCCTTCAGAGCTGAGGGAACTATGCAGAAGAGGGAGCAGAAAGGTTGTCAGAGCCAGAGGGGATGGATAAGTCCAAGGGAAGTGTCTTCCAGGCACAACAGGACTGACCCACATACGAACTTGCGGAGACCAGGGCAGCATGGTCAGGGCCTGCCCAGGTCCAAGCCAGATGAGGTCCCAGAACTGAGAGGGGGTGTGGGCACGGCCCCCACTCCCAACCAAGAAGCTATTTGCACTTAACACCTGCTTGCGAAGGAAAACTTAGTTTTCTCCAATGGAATGTCACTGGGTATATAAGCCACACTTCAGGGCAGGGTTCATGCCCTGGATTAGATGACCAGAACAAAATGAACTCAACTATATTCTTGTAGACTTTGTGTTTCAAATGACTTTGTTTGGGCATTTTTTGTTTTATTGTTCTTTTGTTTGTATATTTTAGTGTCTTGGCATTTTTATTTGGTTGGTTTTTTTTTTTTTTTTTTTAAAGAGGGATAGAAAGAAAGGGTGTGGGGTTGTGACAGAGGGGAGGCAGGGAGAATCTGGGAAAAGTTGGGTGAGGGGAAAAGTATGACCAGAATATACTGTATGAAAAAATTTTTATAAAAAATAATTTTAGTAAAAGGTACATTGATAGATCAAGAGAGATGGCTCATCGGTTTAAAGTACTTGTTGCTCTTGTAGATGACCTGTGTTCAGTTCCCTACACCCACATGGTGGCTCACAAACACCAATAACTCTAGTTCCAGGGGATACAATACCTTCTTCTGACCTCTATGGACACCAAGCATTCACATAGTGTGCATACATGCAGGCAAAATACTTGTACACATAAAATAAAAGAAATAAAAGGTACAAGTTTAGAAGGATTGCTAAATAGGGAAGAACCACTAAGCCTGAGAAATATTTCAATAAATATTTGAATAATTAAAAAAAGGAAGCCAGAGGTTATAACTTCTGATATGAACTTACTCAAAGAACATAAAAAGAGAAATGGGAGATTTACCAATTCTTTTTAATACTTCAATACAAGATTAGGGAGGACATTCAATTTATGAAAATAGAACACTCTGAGGGTGGGAAATATTGCCATAAGAACAAAAATAGAATCCTTAAATTAAAATTTTAAATAAAGGCTGCAAAGAGAAAATTGAATCCTGAAGTAAATTGAATTGGTGAATTAGAGGATGAGGTTGAAAAATTGTCCCAGAACACAGAAAAATATATGCCAACATGATCATACGTGTGTGAAACAAAGACACATAGAGATTAGATCCAGCAGATCTACACCAGTTTAATAAAAGCTCCAAAAGAGGAGAACAGCCACAGAGAAGGTAACAACAACAATAATAATAAAAATAACAGGGGAAAAAGTCCTAAGCTTCAAAAGCTCTGATACCTACTAGCTATCAAGTAAAATTAGGGTAGACTCCCACACTGAGCTCAGTGCGCTTTTCTTTCTGCACTCAGGCAAAGCCAAAAAGTAAACAAAACATTATCTAGAAAGGGGAGCATGTAAGTGTTTCAGCTCACTGCCTTTTTACCACATGAAGTGCTAGAAGATAAAGAGAATAAAAAGAAAAAATGAGAGGAAAAAATGTCACTCAATTTATTTGGGACGTGGAGATGTAGCTCAGTTGGTAGGATACTAGCCTAGCATGCAAGAAGGCCTGGAGTTCAGTACCCAGCGCTACACTGGGCAGGTTGGCACACCCCTGAAATTCTGGCACTTGGGGTGGAAGCAGGAGGCTCTGAGCTTGAAAGTCATAGTTGGCTACCTGGTGAATTTGAAGCTAGCCTGGGATATAGGAGGTATCTATCCTCAGAAACTCAAGAACTCATGAGATTTTCCTCTTCCAGGGAAAAATTCCTTGTAGAAGCCTGATAACAGTCAAGAAGGAAAACAAAACAATCAATCAGTCATACAAATTGGAAGAGGCCAGTGCACTACAGAAGATTTTCAAAGGATGAACCCATAACAGTATTACTGTTAAAACAATTTCTACTAACATTGTAAGTATTATAAAACTCAGCAAATGTTTGGCTACCATGAATGAACCCTATATATCAGCAATAAAAGTCTTCTCTAAAAAAATGAAACAAAGATATACTTTAGAGACAATTTGAAGAAAAGCTAGATGGCAGAAGTGAAAATAGAAAGAGAAGAAAAAAAGATTTCAACCTCATTGGTAACCAGAAAATAAAAATTAAAGACATGCCAATTTGCAGTCTATCAATCTGAGTGTTGAAGATCAGTATGTGTGACATTACCAAGGTATTGGTGGCCAAGGAAACAGAAACTCAGTCTATTGGTAGGACTTTAAATTAGTATTAATACTATGAGGAATTCAGCAATAATGGACCAAGTTGAGTACTTCTGCTTCTGCATACCCAAAACGTGTTTGCACCCGCACCCTAGCATTGATTGCAATAGCAAAAAGTTAGAAGCAACCTATGTGTTCATCAAAAGACAAACACTAGTGAAACACACAATTGAATGATATATATATGTTACAATTAGTGACTTACATTTGTGATTCAAGCTTAGTCAGGGGTCAGCAGATTCTGGGATGGTATGTACACCATGCATCCATGTATAGTTTACTGGCTCAAAGCCATCCAGGCATTTATATGAACTGTGTGGATCTATATAAGCAGCTAATAACTGTGGTGGTATCGTGTTCCCCAAAATATTGTGCACCCTAATAAACTTATCTGGGGTCAGAGAACAGAACAGCCACTAGATACAGAGGCTAGAAAATGGTGGCACTCACACCTTTAATCCTAGCCTTCTGGAGTCATGGATCTCTGTGAGTTCAAGGCCACACTGGAAATAGCCAGGCATGGTGACTCATGCCTTTAATCCCAAGAAGTGAGCCTTTAATCCCAGGAAGTGATGTCAGAAAGCAGAACGTTATATAAAGTGTGGGAACCAGGAACTAGAGCTGGTTAAGCTTTTGGGCTGGTTAAGCTTTTAGGCTTTTGAGCAACAGTTCAGCTGAGATTCATTCTGGATGAGGACTGAGGAGGCTTCCAGTCTGAGGAAACAGGATCAGCTGAGGAATTGGTGAGGTGAGGTGGCTGTGGCTTGTTCTGTTTCTCTGATCTTCCAGCGTTCACCCCAACACCCTGTTGTCAGATTTGTTTTTACTAATAAGTCCTTCTCAGAATTCATGCTACAAATAACAATGAGAAATGAGAGTTAGAAAGAGATATATGGAATTTGTAGCAGTCATTGCTTCAGGGAAGATGGGCTGGGGAGCTTTGGGAATGTGTATTGTAACATGGCACTTCATCCTCACAACACCCCCCTTTATTAAAATCTAAATCACACAGAAGGCTAACATTCATTAATTCTGAAGAGTGGGCATCTGGGTGTTTATTTTGTCACAGTATTTTATTTAAACCCTTTCATACATACCCCAAAGTGGAATAAATATCTAACCTTATGTTCTTATAGCAAGGGTTCTCCTGGAAGACTGACTGATGGGTTTCTGGAGGGAAGGCAAGAAGTCCATAAAACTTCTGAAATGCTATTTGCGACTGGCTGTACCTGTGCTTTGTTTGGGGCATGGATACGACTCTATCTCTTTAAAAAGTACTTAGCTGCGGTTTTGATTTGCTCAGTAGTTGAAAGGTACTATTGGTATTTAGTGGTTGGGCCCAGAGATTCTGAACACACTACAAAATGCACTCCCACCTCCACACAGGAAAGAGTTGACCAACTCCAAATGCCAATTACAAGCTAGGAATTGTGTTCTATAGAGAATAATGCAAAAACTCACCAGTTGTTGTTTAGATACATAGACATGTTCTTTTCTTTATGTAACAGGAAGTCGGGGAGCGGCTGGCACTGGCTCGGTGTCTCAAGGCTGTCAGGATCCAGCTCACCATGTTCCTGATTGCCTTTCCCTTGGTCTCATAATGGATGCTGAAGCTTCAAGGTATCAATTCCGGTGTCCAAACAAATCAAATAAGGACTGCACTAGGAAAGAGTAATTCTGTGTTTCCAAAAGACTTTTCTGGAAACTCCCAGTAGACTTTCACTCAGGTGTTACCACGCCACAAAGCCTTCCTTGCCCGTTGCAAGAATTTAGTTTGGGGCTTTGTAATCTTGATACTAGAAGAAAGGGAAGGGTTTGGAATGAGTGTTGAGTAAATCAACTCACATCGTTTGCTGCAAAAGTGAATAGATTAATTTTATACAAAAAAAAATTAAAAAGCAGTTTTATCAAGGAAAATACCACTTTGTATTTAAATCAAAGGGAATTTTGATGTAGGAGATTGATTACATGTGCCAGATGACTAGAGAAACTAACCGGAACATAGGGAGGCAGCCTGAGTACTGCAGCCTCTTTAAGAGTCCATCTTGCTGGAAAGACAAAGGGAGAAAGTAGTTATTAGGGTCACTTGGATGCAGCTGGAACCAGGACAGAGCGAGCATCAGGAGCTGGAGCCAAGGAGGAACTGCAGCAGAGACTGGGGGCGGGCAGGGAGAGAAGGCTGGCTTCTCCTTTTCTTCATGGGTTTCTTCCACGGCTAAACTCACCTGGAAGCTAGCCGATTCAGTCCGAAAGAGCCCCTCTCAGATGTAGAACTGACAAGAGGGGGACAAGAGATTGGCAGGAGAGAGAACAGGTCCAAGAGCAAGGTGACCAGGTCAAAAACAAAGCCTGTTTCCATGCTAAGACAGGGAAGGTGGGCAACGAGAGTGAGCTGTGAGCGACCAAGTTAGTATCGGGCGATGACGTAGAACTCAAGGCGAAGAGCATTAAACAAGATGAAAGATGTTCACTTGCCTCCTTCTGCCCTCCCTCCCTCCTCCCCTCCCTTCCCTCCCTCCTCTTTCTTCCTCTCTTCTTTTCTTATTGCTAATAGGTGCAGTGCACAATGGAGAATTCAATTTTTTTTTTTAGCTATAAAGAGAAATTCAGTATCAACAGAGGTGACTTGGATCCCTTTGCCAGATCAAGCCAGCGAGAGTAAATAAGGACATGCAGCAATAGTTCACATTAAGACATACGACAGCAGCCAAAGCCAGAGTCAGAGTTCACCACAGCTGTGAGTGCTGCTGCTAGTCCACAAGACAAATGAAAGTAGATGGAGTCTATTATGGCTTCCACTCAAGAGGACATAAAAAACCAATATAACCTTAGGAAAGCAAAAGAGAAGAATCAATAAAAATAAAAACAGAAATCAATATGTTTAAAAGAAGAGGGGAACTGATAAATTTACCAAGGTCCCATTTCAAAAAGATCAATAAAAGACAAAAACTACAGGAAAATCTCAAAAAAAAAAAAAAAAAAAAAAGAGTCAAAGGCTGGCAAGATGGCTCAGTGGGTAAAAGCACTTGGTGTCAGGCCCAATGGCCTGAGTTTGGTCCCAGAACCTCCACGGTGGGAGGAGGGAAGCAGCTCTTGTCAGTTATTTTTTAGCTTCTACACATGTACTATGGACAGATGCATATAAACACCACCTCCACACACACCCCCACACACAGAGACACACCCACACTGACACACACACACACACACACACACACACACATACAAACACACACACTATTATGTATCTGGTCTGACATACACACACATTGACACACACACAAACACACACACACACTGACACACACACAGACACACAGAGACAGACCCACACTGACACACACAGACACACAAACACACATGCAGACACACCTACACACAGACACACACACATACTGATAACAGCTTTGAAAATGAAGCCAGAGACAGTTTGAAAAATTGAGGGAATAAAAAACCCTAAATACATTAAGTAAATGCCAGCTAAGAGACAGCTAAAGGCACTTTGTGGCCAAGCCTGACAGCCTGAGTTTGATCCCTGGACTCCCATGGTAGACAGGAGAAAATCGGCTCTTGCAAATTTTGCTCTGACTTCCACACTCATGCTGTGGCATTTGAGCTCACCCCATAAATAAAATTCCAAAAATTTCTTTTACAAAAGAACTAAATAATAATATGGTCACAGATATTATATCAAATCTATTGTAAGAGCCATGCTATGTGTGACTTAAATCACTTGAAAATATCCATTATGAGGATTTTTTTTTTTGGAGTGGAACAGAAAAATTATAAAATTGGAAGAGGGCTTATTACAATTCATGAGGTCTGGAAATTACACTGTGTCATGGAATCAATATTAATAACATATGAATCATTTCTCCTATATGGCATACATCTCATCTATCAGTAAATTTAATTTACCAATCTCTTTTCCCTATTATAATCTATACTTCCTGAGGGCAAGGACCTTTCACAACTCCAATATATAGCTAAAGATATACCCTGGGTGCTCAAGGGATGGATATTGAAAAAAGACCCCTCCCTCTTTCTGCACTTCCTCCCATCTTTCCTTTCTTTCTTCAACATTCTCTCACCGAATAGTCAGAAGCAAGATCCATTCAGCTTAGAACGGAGAGCACCCTATTGTCCTTCTTTATGTCCTATCTGTGAATAGATACTGTATTCCTGTGAAGGACACATGACTGGCAGGCTCCAGTGTAGTACCCACAGAGGGATCTTCTGCAAGCCATGCTGCTTATCAAGAGCTGCCCCAAGCCGGTGACTCACAGAATGGCCCAGCAGGCTCTCGCTGTTGCTAGGAAACCGTGGTTCCCATGTGGAACTCAGCACCACACTTGCAGGTTGTCCCTGATAACTTAGAGGAAATGAAGAGCTGTCAGAAAAGGTAGAGGAAAAACAAAAGCTAGAATGAAGACTGTAATGTGGTACATCTATGGGGATTCGAGACAGAAGTGGTGAAGATATGTTGGCATCATCAACAAAAGCCACTTTTGTGCTTACCACGTCTGACGTAAAAATCAACGAGAACCGGACCCATTTGTAGAGTCTTGGAACTTTGGCCATGGAAGGCTTTGGGAAGTGACATAAAGTTCTCACGCTCTGGACCCCAGTCCACACTCTGATTTGGATCATTTTGGCTTCCTAGCCAATTGACTTTTGCAAGTTGGTGCCTACCATGGTCCCCAGCATACTGGGACCCGTCACAATTGACCCGTCACAATTCAGTGTGGGCCAGGTACACAGAGGAAACAGGGCAAGGAAACAGCGATGGGTTTCAGACTTGACTTGTACCAAAATTCGACGGAGGGTTTCTTAAATGCACACTGGAGCACTTGACCCTCAGAATTTCTGATTCAGGGGGTGGGGGAGGGGAGTGAAAGTGTATATTCTTAATTAGGTTTCCAGGTAACTGGATACTGCTGTCCAGTGGCCACCCTTTAGGAGTCTGCCTAGCCTATTAAGACTTAAAGGAATTGGCAGGTCAGATAACTGGTAAAGAACCAGGTCCAAGGGATGGTAGTGGTAGTGGGCTCAGACCCAGGCTCCCTGAATTGAATACCAGCACCTTTTCCACTACAAAATGCTCTCCAAGCAACGCCTCTTTAAAAATCCTCCAAGACACTCCAGATGGCTGCCAACAGGGGTGGTCCTACCCAGCGAATGCCAAGTTGCTAAATCCAACCCTGATAGCGACAGCTTAGAAAATGAAGCCAGAGACAGTTTGCAAAAGCCTTTGTGTTCTTCCCAGCATCGTCTCTCATATTTCTAAATACTGTAGATAGAACAGGAAGCGTGTTGAGGATGAGCAGACACAGTGAAGCAGGGATCTGCCACATCTCCAAAGAGGCATGCCTCCAATTCTGTGCTGCAAGCCAGGACTGCTGGCAGGAAGCCCCATCTGCTTTGGACTCAAACCATGAAGCAGTCCCCTCTTGTCCGCCCCCTGACTTCCAGCCTCGTGTGTGCTGAGATGGCCTCAGAGATATATTTAAAATGTAAAATATACACATGCCTACCACTTTTGCTAAAATATGGGCTTCATTACCATTCCGGATCATTGTAAGCTTCAGGTCACAGCTCTTCTTATTCAAAAACTGGGCGTGATAGTACATGCCAATAATTCTAGTACTTGGGAAACTGGGGCAGGAGGATGGAGAGTTCAAGACCACTCTGGGCTACATAGAGGGCTAGTCTAGGTTACGTAGTAAAGCTCCAGGTCAGCCTGGCCTACAGAATGAGACCTTGTCTCAAAACAAAACAAAATTTCAGTCAGTCAAACAGCATTTTGTCCACAAAGTGTGGCTAAAAGCAAAATGAGGGTACATATCGAGTTGTCCTGGGCTCAACTAGTCTCCTCTTTGACCCTGTCAAGACTGTCCAAGGATCACTCTTCCCCACCCCCCTTGATGAAATTACTCTTTATTTACCTCTGGGAATCTTAGCTAAGCTATGAGATGAGAGATCTGAGGGCTTGTTTGCCACAAGCCTTTTAGTTTTAATAAAAAGATGTTTGAAGATTAAAGAAACCTCTGATGCTTGAGAAAAAAATTCTAATGAAGTGTGGGTGTGATGGGGGGGTGGGGGAAGAATCACTGGCATCCAGGATCTTTCTTGGGAGTCTCTGTGTGAACCTCCCAGGTGGCCATACTTTGTCTCCTGCTCAAGCAAAAGCTTGCCCTGTGCCCAGTTCACACTGAAAGCCTGGGGTTTTACAAACCTACTTGTACCTACAATAGTCTCTTCTCACAAGAGCTCTGTGTCCACTAGGTGGCGTTCAGATAGAGCTGGTGGACCAGTTTGTACTCGACAGCTTAAAGTTGCTGAGGACAATGAACTGGGATTGGGGAGGGTCTCCTTCCTCTCAGATTTGTTCATATACTCGAAGAATGGACTCTCTCTCTCTCTCTCTCTCTCTCTCTCTCTCTCTCTCTCTCTCTCT